GGCGGCGGCGGCAACTTCCCCAAGTGGCGCGGGACGATGCGAGGCGGCTGAGCGCGGCGCCGAGCGCTCCGCGGGCAGCGCAGCCGGGGCCGCGAGCGGGACCAGGGCGGCCGTCCCATGTCCCGCAAGGCCAGCGCCAATGTGGAGTACACGCTGCGCAGCCTGAGCAACCTCATGGGCGAGAAGCGGCGGCGGCAGCAGGAGGGCGGCGGCGGCGGCGCGGGGCCCGGCGCGGCGGGCGAGCGCAGCCTCATCGCCGCCGCCGAGTCGTGCTCCAGCCTGGCGAGCGCGGCGTCGGGCGGCGAGCTGGAGCGCGCGGCGCGGCGCCAGTTCCAGCAGGACGAGACGCCCGCCTTCGTCTACGTGGTGTCCGTCTTCTCGGCCCTGGGGGGCTTCCTCTTCGGCTACGACACCGGCGTGGTGTCCGGGGCGCTGCTGCTCCTCAAGAGGGAGCTCAACCTGGACGCGCTCTGGCAGGAGCTGCTCGTCTCGAGCACGGTGGGCGCCGCGGCGCTCTCGGCGCTGGCGGGCGGCGCCCTCAACGGGCTCTGCGGCCGCCGGCCCTGCATCCTGCTCGCCTCGTGCCTCTTCACGGCCGGCGCCGCGCTGCTGGCCGCGGCGCGCGACAAGGAGACGCTGCTGGGCGGCCGCGTCGTCGTGGGACTGGGCATCGGTGAGCGCGGGGAGAGGGGGGCACGCGGCGGCCGCCGCCTCACGGGGCCCGGGCAGCGCCGAGGGGAGCCCCGCGCCCAGCCCGGTCCCGTGTCCCGGGCTGCCCCGGCCGCGCAGGCCCCGCGCGCTGCCCCGCGGCCGTTGGAGTAACGGCAGTAACGGCAGGGGAAAGCTCCCGTGCGCTCGTCCCGGGCCTCCCTCCTGCAAGCGCGAGGGCAAAGCGGGAGTTTCAGAGCAACCGGGAGTTTCAGAGCTGTCCGCTTTGCTCRGCGAAGTTCGGCTGCTTCGCCGCCGAGTCGCCGCTTCTGAATTCCCCGGCCGCCCCTCGAGCTCCCTGAGCGCACTTGCGGTGATGCAGTTTATGGCCTTGTTAAGGGAGAAAGTTAGTGAGTCACAACAGGCTGCCGGCACTGAGCCCGGATCCGTCCGGCGCGGCCCAGCCTGGGCACAACGGGGCATCGCCCTCGGGTGACACTCCTGTCCTCTGGTCCCCATCGGTGACGCTCCTGTCCCTGTCGGGTGACGCTCCCTTCAGGTGACACTCCTGTCCTCTGGTCCCCATCAGTGACGCTCCTGTCCCTGTTGGGTGACGCTCCCTTCGGGTGACGCTCCTGTCCCTGTCGGGTGACGCTCCCGTCGGGTGACACTCCTGTCCCTGTTGGGTGACACTGCCGTCGGGTGACACTCCTGTCCTTGTCGGGTGGCCGCCCATGCCCTGCCCCGGGGCTCATAACCTTTCCTGATCCACTTCAAGACTCCAGCCTGCAAAGTGTTCATGGAAAACTAAATTCGGGTGCGGGTTGCAGAACTGATATTTTGAACGTAATAGATATAAAAACATCAAGGAGGGCCCTTTTTGCATGTGAGAAGCTACTTGTCTTGTGTCCTTTCTTGATTGTAACCGGTCACGTTGGCAGCTTCCATTAATTTTTCTTTTATTTTTGAGTGGGGAGAGGGTAGGGAGGAAAGGATGTGGCTTGCTGGAGTTTCATACACGTACGTGGCTCTGGAGAGAGATGCACAGACCGGCTGGAGGTGTCTGATGGTGGTGGAAACAAACGATCCCCAGGGATGCGGGGCTTGAGGCTCCGTGCATTTTAGTAGTACATCTAATGTGAAAATGGAAACTAGAAGTTCAGGCTTGAGCCTTTTTAGTTTTATAGATCTCCTGCGTGGCCTGGGGAGAGAGATCTCTGTCTGCATCAGGAACAGAGGTCTTTCTGCTGCTGGAGCTTTGAAAGCTGGAGACAGGAGAAGTGGCTGAGAAATGCCTGGGATTTGGGGAGTACAAAGGAACTAATTTACGTAACATGGTGGGKTTTTTTTCCATTTTTATCAGCGTTTGTTCTTCACCTGTGGTAAGGCTGGTGGCCAGAAATGCAGCATTACCTTAGGCTGCTGTCACTGAAGAAAAGCAGTTAGAATTGGAGTGGTCCAATCCTAACAAGATTCATATTGCAAAAGAAAAACAAAGCGCTCATTCAAAACTGCTCCCGTGCTGCAAAATCTGTCCCTCTGGTTACATGTCGCTTTAAACTTCCCACCAGAGGGAGCCTGGATGATTCCGTGGGGAATCATCCCCACGGATCACAGAAATATGCATTCACTTTTACTTAATAAATGAGTTACTGTGTTACGTGCGGTGCTGACCTGTGTGACCACTGAACTGTGACTGGGACAGCGAGGACTTGTGTTAATTGTGCTCAAGTGGGAAAAACAGCCTCTTTTTCCCTGTGGCTACAGTTTGTGTGGCTGTGGTTAGACTTTCAAGGACAAAATCAGAGAAAATGAGCTGAAATGAGGAACTCCTCTCATGTGTTTGTCTCCTCCTGTTTCTTAGCGTTTTTGCAGCCTTGTGTTAAAACAGAAAAAAAGTTGTTTTCCAGGAACGTCATCATCTGCAATTGCTGGAGGAGAAAAAGAGAAAGACCTTCTCTTGGGGACAAGCTGTACTGCTTTGTGTTGCAAATATCGAGGAGATAAAATAATAATCTGAAACACTTTCTCTTCTTTTCCTAGTTTATGTWTGCAGAAAGTGAAGAGAATTTCAAAGCAGGAAACTGCAATCGGCACAAACAGACTAATATGCTTAGGACTTATCAGGACTACATTTCTAAGAAGGTAGCTCAGGAAGTGAGGGGTAGATGTCTATCGCACGCTCGAGTCCTTTAGAAATCTGGGCAAAAAGGCTTAAGCATAAGGTGAAGGCCGTCACCCCCTGGTGATGAGCTCTGGTGTCCTTGACGCTGTAGGAATTTGGCTGTGTCAGGAATGTAATTTTTGGATGGRTTTTTGTTACCAAAAAAACCCAATAGCAAACATTTGGAAAATTGGGTTGAGTGCTTGGWGGAGCCTTGTGTAAGATCGGCTAGGGTAAACTGCCTTGGTTCAGAGCATATTTGGACCTTTTAACATCTGATAATGCTGACCACCTTAACCTGCTCAGAGAGTAAATTCCATGTCTTAATTTACCAGTTCTTTGCTGTCTGAATCCATTGGCCAAATACTTTGATCACAGCTCACCAATCTGCAGTGGGACGGGCTATCCTTCTGTCTCCTCTGGATGCTGAAGACTTTGTCTCTAGCTGAATCTCCAGCTGGGAGTTGTCACAGGGGTCCAGGGGGACCTTCTCTTCAGTTTACCCTTGCAAGGACAAGCTGGGAAGGAGGAGCAGTTTCAGCCAGGAGCCTCAACGTGCAGAGGTTGGAAGCGGCAGGGCTGCTTGTGCAGCACTGAATTCTAYCGTGATGCACGATCGTTATTTGCACCATTAGATTCTGTTGTCTCGTGCAGCGTGCGGAATAGCTGGTGCTCAGTGAATGAGCCGCCTTTCCAGGGCTTGTTGCCTTACTGGGYGCAAGGCTTGGATGCGACACACACAGCCCGTGTCCTTGGGAAAGCAGCACGAGGGGCTGGTCGTGGCACTGTGTGGGTCCTGCTGCCGGGGCCACAAGGCAGTGGGGACCTGAGCAACCCCAGTCYCTGTCATTGTGCCTGACGTGTCTTTGCAGTGTCACCCTCCTGCTCCRTGCTTGCTTTCCACTCACAATTGCACTGTTTTTTACCCGCTGCATTTGCATGGCATATGCAGTGTTTGTGGTAGCATCTTTTTGTTGGCCAGGTAGGTCATTTGCCCAGCAGAGGTAACGAGACTGTGCACAGGAGTGCGAGAGGCTGGCATATGGTTCAGGCTCCCCTGTGGAGGCTCTCTTCTACTGACATGCAGGGCTGCTAGCAAATAATAAAAATAACTGAGTGTTACAAGAGTATTTGCATCAAACAGTGCTCGTTCTGTCTACCTTGACAGAGATTTAAAAAAGAAAAGGGGGAAAAAAAGCTCAGCCATATCACCTGCACCCCGTGCATGCCTCTAAAATGTTGGATAATAACCAATATAAGCTGTTGGCTGCTAAAGATTAGGATACTTCGGTAATTAAACCACCTCCCACTCCGCGAAGTTTTGAAGCTTGAACCTGCTTTTATCACTATTGAGTTGTTTTAATCCTTTTCTCCCCTCTGGAGATAGTAGTTTGCTGACAATACTGGCAGTGGGGACGGTGGGGAGCGATGGCACAGCCGGGCGTCCCTTCGGATGGGGCTCCGCGCTGCCGTTTTGTGCAGCCGCTTACCCGAGTTTCTGAGCTCTGCAGCTGCTGAAATTGCTGCCTGCACTCGGTGATTGGATCTCTGCACCCTGAAATCTTGGGCAGAAGCGTCTCGTCCATTAGGTAGAAGGATAAATTGGCTTCTGACAGTAACTGTGATCTTGCAGGGCAGCAGGARCACACTGAGATAAAAACTGCTCCTTCAGGTCCTCTGATTCTGTGTGTGGTGCATGTGGTGCTCGGTGGCTCCACTGAATGTTGTTTCTTGCGAGGTTGTTGAGAGCGCAATAACAAAAGACTCTCCTGTTTAAAAACACATGTTGTTRCCTTTTGCAAATATGTGGTGACCAACGCAGAATGGTTTTGTATACTGAATTGTATCTAATGGAGGWTTTCTAAAATTCTGATTCTTCTGGACACTGATTAAAGCCTCAAGGGCATTTGGGGGCTTTTGTGTCTTAAGTTTGGTGCTTTTTTTAGTTTTTTTTTTTAATATATATTCTTAAAGAAAAAAACCCCAAACACATAGTTCACAAACCTTGGCATTCATCTTCTTGGCTCTGAGTCTTACAGTTTTCACTGTATTCAAGTAACTGCTGTTAAGTTAAAATGTGTCTTGCTGCATTTTAAGTATTTTTGGTTCAGATATGAGGGAGTGGGAGAGGCGAATGTCTCCAGTTGGTATCTTCCCATAAACTCATGCTTTTTGTCATCCTCTTTATAAACACACTTTGAAGCCAGCTTGCCAATAGGTGTTTTCTTACCTATTTTGAAACATTTAAATAGATATCATAAGTAGGCTTATTTTCAAAGCACCTGTATTGATTTTTTTATCTGTAGTATTTTCAAAATTTTCGGGTTTATTGCATAGAAGTGTGGTAAACACTGGGGTTACAGAATTCTRTGGGAGTCCTGATAATGGATTATTTCTATTTAATAGGACAACTGGACTCGAGCAGGACTACCCTGGTTGTGTTGCTTGCTGGTATCATGGATACCTAACCAGCTGTGAGGAATAGTTTTGGTTGAAAAACTTGTTTATAGGTGTCCTTTGGTGAACAATTGTGTGATTCTTTACCAATTACGTGTGTGAATTATGAGAATTACTGCGTAATGAGGTTGCTGCAAGAGTTCCGTGGAAGCTCGTGGAGAGGTTGGATTGTGTGGAAYAGTCGCTACAGGTGCGGAAAGCATCAGCGCAGGAGAATCTGGATTTCCTTTTGAGGTTGTTTTGCCTGTTAATAAATACCAAGACAGATGATGCCAAGGAAGCTGCAGAGTCTCGTGCGACAGTTCTGGGTGATTGTGAGATGATGGCTCTCTTGTTTTGTCATTTAGGTATTTCGTTTTTCTTAATTATCTTTTGTGCAATTGTGAACTGCTTAAAAACATCAT